AAACCAAGCCCTATTGTGAGAGGCTTAGGGTATGTTTAGAGATTATATTATATTAAATATTTGAAAGTATGTCATACTGAAGATGGAGAAAACTTGTTTTCTGCTGCTCCAAGAATAGAAACCAGGGCAACAGGTTCAAACTATAAGAAAAATATTCCACCTCAAAATTAGAAAAAAAATTTCCTGATAGTAAGAGCTGTTTGACAATGGAACACATTCCCTTGGAGTATGGTGGAGTCTCTTTCTTTGGAGGTTTTTTTAACAGAGGCTGGATGGCCATCTGTCAGGACTGCTTTGATTGTGTATTCTTGCATGGCAGGGGGTTGGATTTGATGGACCTTGAGGTCTCTTCTAGTTCTATGGTTTTATGTTTCTACAAGAACAGATCAGCCAGGCTTAGGAAAGACTTAGGGATCTGGGTATGTTTAGCCTGGAGAAGAGATGGTTAAGAGGTGATATGATAGCCCCGTTTAAGTAATAATAATAATAATATTAATAATAATAATAATAAATTTTTATTTTTACCCCGCCTTTACATGGATATGATCAAGGCGGCTTACAAAGAGTTAAAACAGTAAAAAAGTTAACATTGTTACAATATAAAGGTTAAAATTGTTACAATATAAATTGTTACAATATAAAGGTGCAGGGAAAAGGAGCGGAATCAAGCAAATCACAAATATCAGGGACAATTTGTGGCAGTTTTGGCCAGGACAGGGGAAGGAGGAGGAGAAGGCTCTCCAGGCCACTTTCTAACAGAAAGGAGAAAGAGAAAGAAGCTTCTAGGCAGTTTCTGCCAGGAAAGGAGACAGAGAAGGAAGCTTTCCAGGCCAATTGCTTCTAGGAAAGAGGAAGAAAACAGTTTCCAGGTAGCCATTTGAGTGGGTAAGTTTTTAAATTCTTTTTAAAAACACTTGGGGGGGAGTGTGACTGAGACTCAGCGGATGGGGCTTTGTTGAGTGGCATTTGCAAGTCAATAGGGGGTGGGCTAGGCAGTTAGCTCTATATAATTGCTGCCAGAGCCGCGCGCCTAGCAGCGCGTGAATTTTATACCCAGCAGACTTAAACACTGTTGTTAGCAAGAAATTTTCTTTAAGGAAGAAAGCCGTAGTAGTCTTTCAGGTACTAATTAAGAGTTAGTAT